ACTGTTTCAATACATAATTTATTTTAAAACATAATAAAGTCAAGACTTAAGAAGTGTTATCAGTGTACATTTAATAAGTAACTGATTTTGAAAACAAACCAAAGAAAAAACCCCACCCCAAACCACCTACATGGCTTTTCACAGTTTATTTTTTTATCTGTTTAACACTGGGCACTCTGTTAGGAGCATTATCCTGTGTGTTAATATGCAGTGGTAGGCGCCCTTAGAAGGCCTTGCTGCAGCTGTGACTCTGCTTCCCTTGTTTGTCTCACCAATTAATTTATCTCACGGTGAAGTCTTGCAAATTGCCATACGATTTGGTATCTGGACAAGAGTCTTATTTGTTCTGCAAGGAATGTAATTGACTGATAGATTTATAACTAGTAACTGCGTAAGAGTGGATTCAGACACTTTATGTAGCAATGCAGAATGTTATTACAAATATCTGAAAATCAAAGCAACACCATGTGTGTAATGTGGATATGAACTAGTTCTGATAGTGTCCCAGTTATGTAAAGGAAATGAAAGAACTCTAGGTAAATAATTAAATAATTTCTGTTATTTATGTGTATTATAAGTATTTTTACTTTTTTTATCGGATAAGCATATATTTCTGTTCTTATCATCTCTTGGCCAACAGCAGAGCAGGATCTCAGCACTGTTTCTGTGTGCTTCTGTTGTCCTGGGTTTTTTTAGAGGCATGCCACACTTAGGTTGCACTGGCAAAAGAAGTTGCAATGAATATTATTTATCAGCATTAATTTTATTTTTTTAATCTTATATTAAGATTGAAATGCATGTAGTACCTTAGGTAAGCTTACAGTTTTATGGTTCTGTAAATGCAAGTGAACTAAGGGTCATGGAAGAGTTCACAGTGTACAATTTAATGTACCCTTATGGTCTGTTCATTTTGGTAAAGGTGGTAACTAACTGATTAAAACCAAAACAAGACAGAGATTTTGAACCAGTGGTATGTATCCAGATTCTTCCTCCCCCCATGCCTGGGTTTTAACTCGATGGGTGCTGCTGTTCTTGGCATTACTCTGCAGTTACTCTGGTTTTGCATCACTGCTGTCTGTGGTGCTGTGCCTCCTGCTTCTTTGTCCAACTTGAAGATATTACATCTAGTTAAATAAATGCTGTAATTGTCAGTGAATCTAAGCATCATGGCAGCCTCAGAGAGAGAGATTAGTATTTGGTGACGTAATATGGTGGGATCTGCAACTAACTGAAGTCTAAACCTTCTCAGATTTCTTGTGATTTATGTAACTTTATTGCCAGATTTTGTTAATGTAGCTCTTGAGAATAAATGGGCAAATAATTTATTTTCTTAATGAGAGTTGTTTAACCAATGGAGGCACAGATAATCTTCTTATACCACCCAGACCTCGTGTTACATTTGATGAGATTTTAGAGAAGTCATGTGTAATACTTTCCTGTGGGTCCAGTCTGCTTATGTTACAGTTGTACAAGGTCAGACCTTAATTTATCTAGCAACTGCATATTTAATTTTAGAAGTATCACAGGACACCTCAGCTTGCAGGGCACCATTCCTGGCTGCTCAGAATGCAGGCCCCAGAGTAACAGTGGCAAGATAATGGGTTGAAAAGGTGAGAATATATGGTATGCTTGCCAATTAGACTAATGGAGAAATAGTTTGAAACTGTAATATTTAATAGACTGAGTCCAAATTTAGACTGCTGTTAATTATTGCTATGAATAACCTCTTTGCATGCCTAAGGGCCTTCTATTTATAGAAAGTAAAGCTAAGATTGTCTAGTTTATTTTAAGGATAAGAAATTAGAATAACATTAACTCTCACATAACTTTATGTGTTTAAAAGTGATGAACACTTGATACACTTCTTTCCAAGGAAAGATACACCTTCAATGCTTAGCAAGTAGTTAATTTTTTTCCAATGAAAAACAGTAATTTAGAGAGCAAAACCTTTTTCTTTTTTAAGCAAAACCTCAAGATATAATACCTAATTTTTCAGGCACGAATGTAAAAAATATCAGAAAAATATCAGGCTACTCAAAATGGTTAAGGAAAATATTCTTGGTAATACAAAAAGTAAAACTCATTTAGAGTAAGCATTTACAGTTGTTTCTAGTGATCTAGTGTGTGGGTCTGGTAACTGAGAAACTGCCAAGGATGAAAGGAAGAAGATTTTGCTGTTGAGATTTTGAGCCTTTTCATTGATGCAATAAATAATGTATCAGGGATGTCTGTGCTGCTTGGTGTACCAAGTGTTATAGTCCTCTGTGATCCTTGTGGAACCTCCACGCTTCAGTCAGACCTTGTCACCTCAGCACAGTGTATTACCAGCAGTGATATAGCAAATCAGGCTCTTGAAGCGCGTATAGAGCCCTGGCAGTGTGTCCAGCACTCATGCTATGGTGAGCTGTTTGCCTGATACTTACTTATCATGTCACAGTATCTTGCTGCCTTACCAACTTTCTCATTTTATAATACATTAATTTTTGTAGGAAAACAGTACACACAGCAATTCTGAAATGCTGCTCATCTGAGACCTTTCTGGTTAAGTCTGTATTCAAGAAGAGCTTGTGTTGCCAAAGCTGGATATAGCTGACCACATGGGTATGAAAATTATATTCTATGATGGCCTCTAAACTAATGTATACCTCTCATCTTTTGTAGAGAAAGGTGTGATAGCAAGGCAATACATTTTTCTGAAAATAAAAGTATTTTCTTACTAAACAACTATCCTGCAAGATACTCAGTGCTCTTAACTCTTCTTGGGATCAGTGATGTTGGAGGGTATTGATCATCTCATGAGACTAAACCATATGTGAACATCATTATAAAGATACTGTAATGTACTAAACCAGCCTTTTTTTCCTGAGAGTTTGCAATCTGAATGTCTGATCTGAGGCCTGTGTAAGTCTTCAGGAGCCTTTTTGATTCAGGCTCTAGGGTAAATATCTTATGATGGGATGTAACATAATTTCCAGTCTCAATTCTCCTAAGGACAGCAACTTCGGTAAGGCTTGTAGAGCGTGAAAGTCCATCCATGTGAATCCAATAGGGTGATCATGATTCATTAAAAAGATGCTTCAAAGATTTCAGCAATGGCATAAAGCCTTCAAATGGAGGATTTTCAAAATGAAAAGTGTGAAGAAAGGGAAGGTAGCTGCAATTTGCCTTAAAGCTGCTGTGAAAGAAATAAGATGATGAATGTTACTAATTTTTCCTTAATAAATTATCTTATGTGAATTATCTGTTCCATTTCACTAGGAGTACCTCCTAGCTGCCAGTGAAATGTTAATATATTCTAAAATGTACTTTCCTTTTAGCTGATGGCAAGCAGAGGTTGTAGGTATATTTATTAAGATATATTTCTAAAACTACTAGTCCAAGAGAAATTTTATCTTTGCTGTCTAAAAGGTTTGTCAGTCTTCACAGCAGTGTGTATTTGGGGGTTAAATGATGGAAGCTCTAAGGTGCCATCAGAATTGATGATTGTAAAGGTCTCTTCCAACCCTGATGATTCTATGATCAGTGCTGACCAGTTCATCAGTCTAACTTACATGTGCAATCTTCTTTTGGACTGTTATGGTGAAGTCTTGATGAGAGACACGAAAGGAATGAACAGAGAAACCTTCAGAAACATATTGTCTTTTATGAACAACATAAAGGTCTGTTCTTCTAAGCCACAAATGAAAATGTATCTGTGAATATTCTTTTATTATTGTTGGTGGACTCCTATTTTGCATTCAGAGATGGCAATCAAGACCAAAGTTTTATATTTTTTCCTTCAGAGAAAATGGGGTTGCAGTAGAGATTTTTTTCTGCTTTCCTTCAGGTTGTCCTTCCTTGCAGTTAAAAACCCAGGCCGTGGTTCCAGGACATTTTGAAAGAGGTGAGAAAGTATATTATGTGGGAATCTGAATCCATAAGACCTTTAGTTCCTGAGTCAATCTGACTGTAAGCCCCTACTAATTTAATTTTGGTTTGCAAGCTTTACCATAATATACTAAGTAGTAAAGTATTTGTGGATGGGATTATAATATTGGCTATGGTACTCTGATTGACTTAACTGCTATGAGAGCAATGCAGAAATTAGTCTAGAAAGAAATCTGGTTAGCACTTTCCCTTGAAAATAATTTTCAGAAAATGACCTCCAAATAATATTTTGAACGTTCCTCCTCTATTTGCAGAATGACTAGAACCTACCACAGTGATAGTTCTGTGAAAGACATACAACAGGTGCTTAGTATAATTTTCTAACATTTGTGCAGCACTTTGATGATGGTAAGTGTTCAGCACGGTAGATACAGCACATGACTGCATAAGCTGTGGGAGTGGTAGTTTAAAACGTTTTTACAAATAATTCAACATCTGGTGTCCTCAGTCTGATTAAAGGACAAATGTGTTGAGCCACCAAGATTTGACACTGTCAAAACCCAAAACCACTTGGAAAAACCTGGGTAGGTACGGCTAGGCATATATTAACCTAAGATTTTGTTCCTTATATTCTTTTCTGATATATAAAGACTACTTTTTGCACTTCAAGATCCTGGAAGAAGATGTTGTAAAGAGCAACATTCCTGACCTTCCAATTATAGTCAGAATTGACTAGCAAGACATTTGGTTGATGTGATATCACTTGCAAAAAGCATAGTGAACATAGGCCACAGTTAAAGTTGGTGATATGCGCAGCCTGAATTTAAGCTGATGACTATAGTGAAAAGGTTTGACATGCTCTGTTATTAATCCACTGAATATTTCAACAACTCTCACACCTTGAAAATAATAGCTGACATGGCTTGACCATCACCAAGGCTTGAGTACTAAGCTCCTGCAAATTTCCATTGAACTTCATGACTGCAGAGACTCCAAAGTCCTTTGTCTTTTTTGATAGACTGTGCCTTGGCAGTGTAAAGATAAAGCAAGATTTACAAGTGTTTGTGGTTTATTTTTGGTATTTTTAACTTAATAAGGATCATTAAAAATTGTAATTAATGACACAAGATGAGACCATTTTAATGTACCACCTAGTGAGGAAAATAGGAAAATTGCAACATCCATGAAGCAGGTAAAACCCTAAAGTAAAATAGTCCCCTTGCAAATCTGAGCTTTCTGTATACTATTTTTTCAACTTCATCTTGCTTATCTGTTGAATTTTTTAAGGTCAAGTATCCAGGCTTCAAGAACATTTTAACCTGCCACGTGCTTTGGAGGAAGCTGATGAAAGAAGGTGGTTTCCACTGCACGAAGCTGCAGCTCAGTCAATTCTGCAAATACTTGAAGTCATTTTAGATGGTGAGTAAGGTTAAAATATCCCACAAGATAAGGGGAGCAGCAAAGAAAGATAGAGTAATAAACACCCATCCACAGCAACAGACTGGAACTGTTTGCTAAAAAAAACTATGATGAAGTCCTCCATGGAGTGTCTTGCTTATGTTGTTTAAATGTTCAAGGCAAATTTTTTTGTTTGGGTAAAGCTGCATCAATTTACAACAGCAAATAACTTGGACCATATTTTAAGTTTTGTTCGGAAACCCACAGACAGAGCAAAAATTATTATCCAGCACGTGTGGTAGTACTAGTTAGGTTAACATAATTACAAGTAATTTTCATAAAGACTTAGCTTTTGAGGATTTCTGGTATATGTGTATGTGTTAACAGCCTTGTGCTTTAATTTTGTTTTATCTTTTTTCACTTTTTTACCTCTAGCATCTTATAAAACAACATGGGAACACAAAACATGCAATGGAGAAACAACATTAACTTTGGCAGCGAAAGCTGGCTTTGTGGAAAATGTGTGAATGTTACTGGAAAAGAGTGTTTGTCCCAATATCACAAATTACAAAGAAGAAACTCCACTTCTTATTGGTAATCGCCTCCCCTCCCTGGGTTTAAGGGATGCAAATGGCAGCGCTTCCCCTCTGTTAAGTACTTGCCCCAGTACTCCTGTTGGCTTCCAAGGTTTAGATGCTGCTCATCTCTTTAGATGAAACTAAATGCCCAGAACCTGGTGAAATGTACCCAGGATTCAGTTCAGCACTCATCATGCTTTAGGTGATCACTGAGTTGATCTTAAAGATGCTCCCTATATTTTAGGCAGTAGCTGAGCTGCTCCTAAGAAAATGAGACGTATTTTTTGTTCAAGGTACCTTCTGTATATATATCTTCTGGTGCTATAAGTCCTTTACCTGCCTGGTCTTATTTGACTGTCTTAAGGTACAAGTACAGTACAAGAATAAGCCATTGTTTTGCCTGGAATACACTTTTTCTGGAGATCTGGAGGTTAATGATTTATAGTTTTATCAGATGATTTCTTCAAGAGTAGGCAGGTATTTTTAAAAGCCTCTTATCTCATTATCATCACCTCTTCTGCTGAAAGTAAGCTTCAGCTGCATTTCTAATACCCCAATCTAAAGAAAGATACTTCATTTGGAAGATTTTATGCTATTGGTAGACTTAAATGAGCTTTACTATTCATGAGTAATTTAGCTACATTAGCTTCCAATTTCTGTTAAATGTCAAAGCATCTTCATTCTCTGAAGAGAATCAATCTGTGACATTAACATGCGAAAATACAATATTTAATACAATTATCTGAATTAAAATATTCAGTTATCTGAATTTTTATTAACTTGCATCAGATGTGATTACCATATTACCATTTTAAGGCCCTGAGGCATTTCTGAGAGGTTCTTCTGCAATGTCTTGCTTTGCGTTGTGTCACTTCAATAACTGTAAATCTGGGAAACCAGCCATTTTCAGCCATTGCTTCATTCCTTTCAGCCATTACAGCATTTACCTGCAAAGAGGTAACTAGAGCCGATGAAGGAGGTCTTTCCCCATATAATGACAATTTTGTTTCCTAAATATTTCTCTATACAAACTCCTGAAAGTGAGGTCTGTCAGCTATGCATGTGATGCTTTTTGTGTTTTTCTGTCACTTAACACTGAAAATGTGGATGTAGATATTGTTGTGCATCATACATTTCAGTCTTAGCTTCAATGAAACAGAGGATCCGGTGCTTAACACTTATTAGATGATGCTCATGATTTAGTTCCTCCTTTTAATTTTAAAACTCTGATGAAAATGCTCTTGAGTAGAAAGGTAAATACTGAAGAAGTATCTGTCTAGTGGGATGATCTCTGCTTCCAGGTACATTTGTAATACTGTACTTCAGGGCAATTGTGGATAATTATGAAGACTGTTGCCTCTAAGAAACCTTCTTGTATAATGGGGCATTCACAAAAGTCAGATTTGCTAACCTTATGATGCTGATCTCCCTCAGCTGCCCCACCAGTCAGTGGAGAGATCTGCTATTCCAAAGGGTAGTTCAGAAGTAAAATTAGACTCTTACTCAGCATCACTATTTTACATGTAAATAATTTGCAGGTGTACTTATGCATGAAATCCATGGAACTTCAAAATGACAGAACATGACCTTTAAGTATGTCAGATGTTAACGCTACTTTGGTTGACAACAACCACTGAGTAGACACTAGGATTAGAGCTACCAGGTAAAAAAGACAGTCACAAGTGGAATTTTCTGAGGACACTCTAATGTTTACAACAAGTTTAGAAGTAACTACCGTATTTGAATAATGTCTTATTTTAATTGTCACTTTGCTTATGATACACCTTCTTGTGTTTTCTCACAATCAAAATGTGCTGCTTTTGCCTTCCATGCTCCAAACTGACATAGTTTTGAGCTTGTGTTGGTGTACCTCGATTTTTCGAGCAGCTGACATTACCATTTATTTAACATACATTGAATTCCCAGATTTCTAGGACTGGAAAAGTTTTTAATTTCATCATATCAATACACAAGGAAAAGCTTTTCTAGATTTATTAGATGTCTTTAACTTTCAAGACAACATAGCTGAAAATGTAGCTATAATATTTTCTTCCTTCTTTAGAGCTACAAGAAGGGCCCTTTTGAAATGGTATCCACTCTGATTAAATACAACTGTACTATCTACCAAGCATGCATAAAATGTGATGCCTGACACGTGGTCAGCAATGCATGAAGCTGAAAAACCTTTGAAGAATGGTGGAAACACGGTGTTGCTGCTGAATATGGTCACTGTGATGTGCTGGAGCATCTTGTTCATAAAGGTATGTAGTCAGGAAAAGAGAAATAAACCTCTGCACTGGCATACATCTTGCTTGGCTGCTGAGGTGTTTCAGGGTGATCAGGGAAAAGGAAAGAAAGAGTAGTTATAAATGAGAAGATTTGGCTTCTTGGAAGGGAAGGACATGTATGAGTGCTCTTTCTAGTCTGGAGTAATGCTTACATTTTTCCATAACGCATGTAGGAGGAGTGCCAAAGTCGATAGCAGTCGATTTCAGTCAAGGAGAGACTGCTATACAGGCCTTTCTTGCCCTTCTATATTTCTCTTTACTCCCTTCCCTCCCTCCCTTCCTCCCTCTCCTTCCTATCTTTCCTTCCATATGCAGAATTATATTGTTATTAATTAATTAAATGACACATTTTTGAATATGCCAGTTTGACAGTCCTCAGTTACAACACTTATGGTCAAAGCAGACCCCACTGAGGTTAGCATTTGAGCTTCTATCTGTACAAATCTTGGTTTGCCTTTGAGTTTTAAGTTTGCCACAAGAAATATTTCTGGTTTTAGTAAAGTTTTAACTGAAATACATCTTAAAATGAAGAGGAAAGTACTCTGGGCTTGTTTCTTTGATGATCTACAAGTCACATTGGATATAAATACAAGTCCTGTATCCTCCTTCAAGGTGATGTCCAGGCCATAGCAGATGATCGTGCATCAGTAGTGTTTAGCAGCTGGAGGAGGTAATCCAGTTGGCATAGCCCTTCTTTTGGAATATGGAGGAAGTGGCAATGTGCCTCATGAGGTAGGACAGCTTCCTATACTCAGAGTGGCTTATGAGGGGCATTACCTTTGGGTATGAACTTGGACTTTACATTTTCTCTAAGATACTATATGGCACAAGGTCACAGGAACATCCAAATAATTTAGTAACCTTAACTGGTGGTATTTCAAGTGTGATGCAAGTTTTTGTTACATTCAGGAAGGCTAAGTTAAGCTCTTTGACTGATATAAATTCTGGTAAGAAGTATTTGTTTAAAAGACTCAGCAAGCTCAAGCGTGCTAAGGTCTGGTCCTGCTGCCTTATTGATACAACAGAAATGGAAAGTTCCATGGCTTGCCTCAATATGCAATTTTCAAAGGATACACCTAGGGAAAGGAGAGTTTGTACATCAGTGTGCATATATCCAAAAGTGAGGCAATAATGTTAAGCAGGTATCTGATAGAAGTTTCATTAATATGGGCATAGCTTGTTATCACAATTCTGAAGATAAAAGAATGGTCTTTTATTCAGAAGTGGCAAAATAATAATGCCTAGAGGTAATAGATTTTTATATTAATTTGATTAGAGTGTGTTTTGAGATTGTGAACTGGCTTACAATTATTGTCAATAGCATTGATTTTTCCACCACTTTTCTCTCTTTTTTTTTTAGATAATCCTTGCTCTTCTTTTTCTCTCTTTTTTTTTTTTAGATAATCCTTGCTCTTCAAAATGTCTGTGTTGTCTGAAAATATGTAAACTCTTGGGGTTAAGGAAACTCCATGAAGAAATTTCCCCTTCCACCCATTCTCAGGGACTTAATCCATTATGAAGAATATGATCTGTATGGAAAAGGGATGCATTTAGAATAGTTTTAAAAAATAACTGTGTACAGTCTGTAATTTGACAAAATTCCTCACTTTTTACTAACTAAGGATCTGCTTAATGTTTCATATAACTTCACAACATTCTGATATTTGCTGTAAATAGTCCTTTTATGTGAAGAAATTTCAAAACTAGTGCATTAAATCTCACGTTTTAACACAGTACTTAGTACTATGTAAATATAGGCTAAATCAGAATATGGGTGCTATAATAATTATGTAGAACAATACATTCTAAATGGGAATTCAGATGGATAAAGAATAAAAGAAGAATTTTCATGATAGACTTGCAAATGAAAATGAGAAATATTGTTGCTGCCCTCAGTCCATGGCATTAGTTAATCTGTAACAGAAAATAAATGTCTAATTTATCTTGGCAAAAAATTAAACCACTAAATACACATTTCTGTCATGTAGTTGGCTGTATCAGTCCTTTGTGTGTGTCTGTCCTTCCTCATAACGGATGTATAGGGGCAAATGAAAGGAGTGAAAATTACTGGTCTGGGACATGTAGAAGGTTGAACAGAAGGCTTAGTTCCTCCTTGTGCTCTTACTGGGGCTGCTTTTCATCTGGCTTTCCAAGAAGTATCCTCTGGGGTTTTTGCCAGGGATTTTGACAAGCATGACAAAGAATCATTTGGTCACTTTTGAAAAATTTCTAGGTATAACCTATAAACTGGTATTTCTGTGTGGGAATTCCTAAATAGAAATATGGGCTTAATTATAATAAGTCTTAAATTTTGGTAATTTTAATGAATATAGTGACCACAATGCAAGAATCTAGGCAGTCACATATCTGATACAGTATACTGCAACCAGCAGAGGAAACATGAGCAAATGGGGCTTTAGACAGGAGATTTTAAACCCTTTCTGTGGCTAGAGCCAAATTCCATTAGTAATTTTAGTTCACAGGCAAAGGTTTATATTTAGGACTTTATACACGCCTCAGGCAATAGTTACATTGCCTGCAGCATCAAATGGTTCAGATCGAGGATGGAGCATTGCCCTAAGTGTTTAAAATACCATGAACTAGTCCTTCAGATATCATTAGGTATGCTAAAAGACATGATATTGTTGTGTTTCTCTCTTAATCAATACATCTGGGCCCTTTTTTTGTTTGGTAGCCTGTTATAGGAGGTGGCCTAATCCAGGTTTAAAGCTTTTCTGTCCTTCACCATTGAAGCTGTTTCATTGAAGACTTCTGCCTGCCCTTCCTCCCCCACCCTCCAGATGCTAAAGCAAGTACAACATTATGAGAAAGTATCTTTAATTTTTTCAAGGCATCTGTGAACTGAAGGGAGGCAGGAGAAGCAAGACTTTATTTTAAAGGGAATATGAGGTGACATAGTCATGGAAAAGGAGCTGTTTTCCCCAGGTCATGTTTATGGCACAGCTAGGAATCAAACATAAGTCTTTTGACTCCCATATTTTTGAAAACAGACCATTGAATGATACTTTTATGGACTTGAGTACCTGGTGGTAGGAGCAGAAAATGTAACTGGACTGGAACTGGGGGTTGTGTGAAAAGGGACAAAGGCATCAGGCCCTTCTGGAAGAATATACTGATAGGAAAAAACTACTTTTTATTATCCCTGCTTGGACTGTGATTGAACTGTTGCAATGATGGAATTTAATTTGCTCTGCTATTTGGGTGTGTCTCACAGGGTGTTCCACTGCAACCCAATTCCATGGCATGCCCACCCTCTAGGAGAGGTTATCTGGAAGTAATTAAATGCCCTGGCACTGATTCAGGCATGCTCTGAGATAGGGATTCCTACCAATTTGGGGACAATGTTTGAAATCAGAGGTATGATTTGGTCTCTGTTTCTCCTAAAATCTGACACAAGCAGCTGCGCTAGATACTCCAAGGAGCCAGACATTCAACAGCAGTTACATCAGCCTTTGCAGGACCCGTGGGATGGCCTTTGTAGTGGTGTTTTCATCGCTCAGTGAAGGAAGGACTAAACCATAGTTGTGAGTCCTCTATATGATCAGCTATTCCCTGTAGAGGCCACAATGTCATATGGGTCAAGCATTAAACTACCATGCACTGACTACTATCTAATTTTGGGAGCTGGCATGGCAGATCCTGTTATGGGTATCAAGGCAGAGGTGGGGGGAGTGGGCAGCAATTTTACTGTTTCACGGCAGCAGTGATCTGGCACAGGCTCTTTGTGCCTGAGCTGCCCTCTCTCAGGCTATTGCCATTAGTACAGGAGTCACACATGGAAAAACACAGTCACAAAGTCATGAGCTCTTTTGTGTCTACCTTGGGGTGGGGCAAAGGGATTTCTTCTGACCCTTACTTGGGGCAGAAAAAAACACTTATATCCACCTGTTTGGCTATTGTTTGCATGGATAAAAGTGACATAAATTCACAATCACTTATCTCTGTAGAAAAAGTCTCTCTTGCTTTTCCATCAATCCCAGTGGCTGGAGCACAAGGCTTATGAGGAGTGGCTGCTCGAGCTGGGGTTGGTCAGCCTGAAGAAAAGGAGGCTGAGGTGAGACTTCATCGCTCCCTACAGGTGTCTAAGAGGAGGTTGTAGTAAAGTGGGGGTTGGCCTCTTCTCCCAGATAATAAGTGTCAGGACAAAGGGAAATGGTCTCAAGTTGCACCAGAGGAGGTTTAGATTGGATATGATGAAAAATATTTTCATGAACAGGGTTGTAAAGCATTGGAACAGGATGACCAGAGACATGGTGGAGTCACCGTCCCTGGAAATGTTCAAAAAACATGTAGATATGGCACACGAGGGTATGGTTTAATAGTGAACATGGTAGTGGTTCTAGGTTGATGGTGGACCTGAGGCTCTTAAAGGTCTTTCCAGCCTTAACGGCTCTATGATTCTGTGATTTAATATGCACCTAATCAACAGTTTCTTGCCCTCTCTTCTGTGTCTTCTGCGTAACCAGCTTTTCCTGCCTGATGTGCTCAGCCACAGCTCTGGTCTCTCTGATAAATCAGTCCTTTTAAAGCCTTCCCCCTACTTTTTTTTTTTTTCCCCATGTGAGCCTTTCATGTGACTGCTAGACTGTATCAAGAAAAGTAATTTCAAACAAAGTGATTTTCAGCCTTAATGCTCCTATTCTGCCTTTTTTTGTCCCCTAACCTTTTTACTGGAAAATGTTTGTTTAGAACGCAATAATTAAGAATGGCATCTTGCCCTCCAAGGTGTCTGTCCTTCAGTGTCCACTTCTATACCCTACAGATAATGACCCTGATTCAAAAACACACCATTTGTTTTCAAATGCACAGAGCAGACTTTAAAGAAATCCATCCTTATTCTTTACCAGGACAAATGCTGCATAAATCAGAAAGAAGTGCATAGGTAAATATATGAAATCACTGTATAAATATTTAAAGATATGTATTGCAATGGGAAGCATTTTCTCTCTAAAATGCTCCCTGAAGTGTTACTTACACCAGCAAAAGAGGTACTTAGATAGGAGAAATATTCCCCAAGGAACATGTGTTTTGTGGCTCTCCCAAAAAGCTATAAAAATATATTAGTGAATGGTTAGTAGTCATAAGACTGATATAACAGTGTAGTTCTGGTGACATGTACAATGTATTAAAAATTAATTTTCAAAATTCACATATTCAGTAGATGTCTCTGCATGTAGTTGGGCAAACCCATTGCTTTTTGTCCACATATTCTGTGTGGTAGATATGGTGCCTAGAACTGCTGTTATCATTAATATGTACTAATAAAAAAAAGTATAATTAAAGACAGTAAATTAGAGAATTTACTTAGTTTGCTGGTTGTATTTAAATCTCTTTGAAGTATATCACTTATTTCTATTGCTGGCAACTCCCTTTTAAAAAAATCTTCATAAACACACACTCTAAAAAAGTGACAAATCCAAGGAAATGCTAAATATAGAAGTAGAGCCATTTTTTAAATGTGAATGAGAAACCATAGGTTTGGCTAAGCTACATGGGAGAACCAACTGGGACTAAGGCATTAACAAAGGATGAAATCCATGCACTTTTTATAATCACTTATAATTTAATAACTACCTGGCCTGGAAGTGCAAATTACAGTTATTTGCAAATACCACCACCAATAATATAGTGCTTACATTGGCAGATTTTGCCTATTTTATTATGCCTTTTATATTTCTTCAACAGCATCCCATTGAAATAGCTCTTCCAAAATCCACATTTTTTGTGCATAAAGCAGTTCCGCTGCTTCTTTCTTTGCCATACAGTGGCCTCTACTTCCTGTCCAAACCTGTTGAGCAATATTGCGATGTAATTCCAAACAGCTGCTGTAGTCACCCTATGTCTGTACATCAGTAGCAAGTGAAATGATTTCTATATATAGTTTGTAAATCTGTTGGCAATGTTTGTAAAGCACACCGAGATTCTTCCTGAGGAATAAGAGCAGCTATACAAAAGCAAGTGCATTAAGACCATCATTGCGTACAAAGCGGTTTATCTTTCTTGTGTGGCAGAAATGAGGAAATGGCCAGTCTGCAGAGACAGGGAAAAGCACTTGCTTTGGGCAAAACCCTGGCAGGAATAGTTTGTGCTGTCAAAGATAAGCAGGTTCATCTCACACTGTTATTGCAGAACATGACGTTGTACTGACACAAGATGATTAAAAAGTATTGGCTGCATAGGAAGGGAAGAAAACTGGGAATGGGAATGACATTTATTCAATAAGATTTATTTGTCCCCCTCACCTTCCTTATTTTAGTGTGATTCAGGTACGCAAAAGGAGTTATAAAACCCGAGTCTTCTGCGCCCTTGGCACCCAGCACAGACCTTCATGATCCATGCATGAAGGACACCAGGTGCCTGTGCAATGTGAGCAGTGAGTTTTCGTTCTTTTAATGAAAGGATGAGGAATTTATTAGTCCAGGAGTGGTCTTATTTGCACTCAGATGAGTTTTTCTCCCCAGTGCTTTCCTGCAACCAGGTTGACCTCATGACTCCCCTTCCAAGATGCATCCTTAAGCTCTTCCCATCAGCAGCACTA